ATCACAAATTGTGAGAGCTATTGCCTTGTCAAATTTGAATGTATCTACATGAATGGTTTCGAAAGGTTTTTTCGGTGTTGGTGTCAGTTGAAGTTTAATAAGTGGGGGATGACGTTCATATTTTATTTGTTGGCAAATAGAACAATTATTTACGAATTTCCTGATGTCATCACTTAATTTTGGCCAGTAATATTTAATTTTCAGTTCATTAATAGTTTCGTGAATACCTCTATGATTCGTAATGCCTTCATGAGTTGACTTGATCAAATTTTGTTGTCTGTTTTCATTAGTAACGTCAAATAAAAGTTTATTAGATTTTAGAATTTTGAAAGCTGAATTTTTGAATATTTGGGGTAGAAAAACACATATTTCTTCATAAAGCTCTTGATTTTCATCGTTCTGAAAATACAAGACATATTGTCGTTTTGCGCCACCGAAGTCTTTCAAGAATTCAACAACTTGTGCTTGAAGTGTTTCGTTTGTCACATAGAGATACCATCTTGTTCGGCTCACTGGATTTCCGAAAATTTTCTTAGTTTCGAAACGTGGATTTTGATCAACTTTTATTATGACTATCTGACAAAGAAAATAATTCAAAGGTTTGTCGGTTATATTTATGGTCAAAATCGGGTTTTCTGCACTTGTATGTACAGTCTGATTGTCGTCATTTTCGTCAGGGTCTACTTGTCCTATCATTGATTGATTATCAGGTTCGTTACTAGTGGAAGGTCTGGGATTTTCGTCTAAAATGGGATTTTCATTATATTCTTGCATGTACTGTAGTATGGGAATGTTTTCTGTGATATTTTCGTCCTTAGTCTGTGTATCAGTGGGGTAGATTTCTACTCTAGAGAGGGCATCCGCGTTTGTGTTCATTTTTTCTTTTTTGTAAATTATCTGGTAATCATATTCTTCAAGTTTTAATCTCCAACGGACCAAACGAGAGTTTGGCTCTTTGAGAGACATAAGCCATTGAAGAGGTTTGTGGTCTGTTATAATTTTGAATTCTCTGCCAAACAGGTACGGCCTGAAATATTTTGTAGCCCACACAATGGCTAACAATTCTTTTTCAATTGTCGAGTAGTTTTGTTCTGAATCATTCAATGTGCGTGATGCGTAAGCGATAGGTTTGTCTTGTCCAATAGGGCCCTGTGAAAGAATGGCACCTACGGCAATATTACTCGCGTCTGTTGTCAGGATGAAGTCTTTTGTCAGGTCAGGATATTGAAGGATTGGGTCATTGGTCAGGAGAGATTTACAATCTTCAAAAGTTTTAATATAGAGTGGATCATTGATATTGATTTTGGCTCCTTTTTTCAAACATGAAGTGAATGGTTTCGTGATCTTAGCAAAATTTTGAATGAATTTTCTATAATAGCCTAAAAGTCCGAGGAATCCTTTGATTTCTCTCGTAGTTTTTGGAATAGGATAGTTGATAATAGATTTGATTTTATCCGGGTTCGGTTTAATACCATCGGGAGTGATGATGTGCCCTAAGAATGCTACTTCAGTCCTCAGAAATTCTGATTTATCAAGTTGCACTTTTAGGTTACTCGCTCGTAGTTTTTCGAAGACTAATTTCAAATTTGTTAAATGTTCCTGTAAAGAGGTGGAAAAAACGATTATGTCGTCCATATAGACAAAGCAAATTTTATTTTGTAAATCTTTCAAGACGTTATCCATGACTCGTTGGAATGTGGACGGGGCATTTTTAAGTCCGAAAGGCATGCGCAAGTATTCGTAATGTCCATGCTCAACATTGAATGCAGTTTTTTGGATATCATCAGGATGCATTTCAATCTGATGAAAGCCACTTGCCAAATCCAAAGTCGAGAAATACTGACATCTGCCTAATTTGTCAAGGATGTCGGATATGTTTGGGATAGGATATCTGTCGTCAATTGTCTTCTCGTTAATTTTTCTATAGTCGACCACTATACGCCATTTTTTCTTGCCTGATGCGTCAGATTTTTTGGGGACTATCCAGATCGGGGAAGACCAAGGAGAGTCACTGGGTCTGATAATTTCCTGTCTGAGCATTTCATTAATTTGTCGTTCAACTTCCGGTTTATGAATAAAAGGATAGCGGTATGATTTCGAATAAATAGGTGATTCGTCTGTGGTTCTTATTTTGTGTTTGACTTGATTTGTGAAGGTTAATTTTGAATTTTCGCGGTGAAATATATCTGAAAAAGAACGGCATAATTTTTCTATGTGATATTTTTCTTCTTGATTCATGTGCTCAGTTCGTATAAGTTGCGTAATGTCGGGGTTTTGTATAGTTTCGTAATCTGTGTCTGATATTGTCAAATGGTAAAGTTCAAAGTCATTATTGTCAAATCGTTTTACTGGTACCGGTTTATAAAGAAAAATTTCTTGAACGCCACTGGTGTTATTGTGAATATCAACAGATGCATATCCTAGATGAGCTATAGTCAGACATTCGCGGATAATGCACTTTGACATATGAGTTTCAGGAATTGTAATAGTACCTTCTGGTATCGCAACTGGAATTTTAACTGATTCTATGGAAAATGGTTCGATTCGTGCGAAAAATAAAAGTTTGCCTTTTGTTTCATAATGAGCTATCGAAATTTGGGCAGTGGGTGTTTTAATAATCGAATTTTGAATATCTATTTGAATATTAAGATCTTTTAGAGTTTCGTAACCAATTAAACCATCGAAAAAATGATGAAATTTAAACAAATAAAATTTGATTTTCTTATCTGAATTGAATTCGCTGAAGGCTGGAATTTCGGCACACTGATCTCTGCAAGTTGTTTGAAATATTGATGATATTGTAAATGGTTCCTTTTTTATGAAGTCGTTATAATAGTTTTCTGCAATTTCGGGGTTCAAAAATGATTTGGTAGCTCCTGTGTCAATTAATAATTTTAATGGAGGATTTGAAATTTTGATATATGGGAGGTCTTTTCGGTCATAGATTGAATGAATTTCTATGTGTTGGTTTCTGAAGAGTCTATTTGTTGAAAATTTTGATTAGGTTCATCGATTGGTTCTGATTGATATTCATCATGATTAGGATTTTGGTAACAAATTTGATTTTGAGAAGTGCTCGGTTCATTTTGATAGTCATAATATTGATCATCGTAATAATGATTTTGATATTGGCTGACAAAATATTCTTCGTCAATTTGTGAGTCTACGTTATATACTTCTTCAGGGGTAGAGTTCATTCGGGGTTGTTGGTGAAATGTATTTGGTCTATCGTCATTTCTTTGTCGAGGTACAGTTCCATAAGAAATTCCGCTCATTGGGGTAGGTCTAGGTCTAGTTTGATTTTGTGGGTTTGATCTCCAAACATTACTTTGATTTCGGAAAGGTCTTTGGTTTCCAAAAACTTGACTGTTTGTGAAATAACGTTGTGGAGGGGCAGGCCTTGTTTGAATTTGTACAGGACCGCGTGGAAAGTTAGAATTTTGGAAGGTTGGTCGTGGGATATGTTGAGGTGGATTTTGGAAGTTATTTTGCGAATAATTATTGAACTGATGATGATTTTGAAACTGATTTTGATATCCATGATTGTATTTCGGATTTTGTCTCGGTTTGAACTGGTCGTTAATAGGTTTTTGCAAATGACGAATATTACTTTCAGAAATTATGTATTGCCTAGCTTCTGCTGAATCGTTGGGTTTCATTGCTCTGATTGTCGAACCTAAGGGTTCTTTCAATCCTGCAAGGAAAATTTTCAATGCATGTGTGTTATAAAAAGTTTTCTTCACTGTCTTGTTATTTGGATTATTTTCATGTGTATCAAGGTAATTGTGAAGAGCGCTTAAATTTGACATAATACGAGTATAAAATTGTAGAGGAGATTCATTGTTAGTTTGTCGCAATTGGTCCAAATCAAAAAGTAATCCGTTTTCATCTCTCTGATCGCCAAAATGGGCTATAAGAGCGTTTTTTACTGATTGCCAGTGTTTTGCAATACAAATACTGTAAACTTCGCGTGCTTTTCCTATTAATTTTGCATAAATGCCGTAAATTAATGTTGTGTTTTGAACACCATTGATATTTGCGGGATTCGGGTCCCAATATGTATTGATTAAGGTATTAGCTGTATCCAAATATGAAGATAACTCTAATGGATTTCCGTCAAATTTCGGAACAATCTCTAAAAGTTTGGTTTCAAAATGTGGGATTGACATATTGTTTGATACTTTAGGTGAATTACTATCTTCTGTTATGTTCAAGACAGAAAGAAGTCTGATTATTTCTGACTCTGATTCTAAATTTGCAATTGGGCTTATTCCGGTATCTAAATCTAACTCGCGATCTATATTTTCACTTGAAAAATCTGAGGGCGAGGAGAATGACATAAAATCTTGGAAGGAAAATAAATGATATGAGCAACTTACATCAAAACGAAGATTTTCATTCCTGCTTCGACGAGACTGCTTTTTCTTCTACTTCTGCTTTGTTTCTGCCAGTTGAGGTCCTCGATGGAGCACTGGGTTCTTCTGGTTAAACAGTTGAAACTGACGGGTTATTTTCGATAAATTCCCTTTTCAGAATCCGTACGACTGCGCCACTTTATGTTTTTACTTTCCCGAAAAGGCTTTTTAAAAAAGCACTTTATATTTCGAAAGACAAAAATTATTTATTCAATCAGTTATTACAATATAAAAATATACGTCTTTACTCAACCAAGATCATGTCTATTCTGAATTGCGGTTCACAAGGCATTTCGTTCTTTCCCTGAAGTCGGATTTCTGCTGATGTTGATGTCAGCAGGTTCTCACGGGAAACCGGGTTGCTGCTCACATAACTCACACTGTATATACTGTTGATAGCTTTCATTGCGCCATAATTCCGAAAAATAAGCCAATTACACCGTCTCCGAGAAAGAACTGCAGGTCATTTTATTTTCAAATCATGTTCATATTATGATTTTGTCGGGCCACCCTATATTGTAAGGTGTTCTTCAGAATTTGTTTTGATAACTAAGGATTTTTGATACCATTTTCATTTTGTTTCAGGTGCCATTTCTGGTGAGTATACAGAGATTCTGAGAATCATGCAAAGTATGTATGTATGTATGTTCAAATTACCCGTATTTACATACACGTCTGGCAAGAATTATTTTCCTATAGAGAAATAATGTGCATGGACATTTTAACAGAGAAGTGTGCATCGCGGAGCCCTGGTGCGTCGCAAAAGTCTCCGGTAGGGCTCCGCTAAATTCTAAGTGAAATTCTTAGTCACCTTATTCTCAGAGCCTTCTGAATTCTACTTTTCGGACGGACATAATATAATAATAATAATAATAATAATAATAATAATAATAGTTTTATTTCCCACCACGTATTACAACAAGATACATGTAATTTAATGAAAATAGTAATTAATAAAATAAAATTATCAAACATTTTGGCAGAGTATGAGAGTATCACAGTGAGAAAAAGGCACATTGATTCAGATAGCAGTAGATACTGCTTCTGTTCTTCCATCACGGCCTGAAGAGATACAAAAAAAATCATTTCACAGCGTAATGTCTCCTTTATATCAACGTTTAAAGTGATTTCGAAAAAAAAGAAGGAAAAGAAGAAAGAAAGAAAAAGAAGAGAGGAGAGAAAAGAGAAAAGAAAGAGCATTATTTTTAATCAAGGCATGAGCAAGCATGAGTTCACTGGGTATCAAATAAGTATTTTTTGAATTTGAGACGAAATGCTGATCGCGATAATTCCAAAAAAGTGCTGTCTAGTTTGAGAATATTATTGATACAAATTGCGGCATTGTAAGAGAAAGAACGTCTATATATTTGTTTAGTGTGTCTGGAAACAGTCAGCAGTGTTTGACGACGAATGTTCAGATTGTGGACGTCAGTTCTGAATTTTAATTTCTTATGAAGATAGGGTGGTGTGTTTGATTTAAGTATATTGTGGAACATACACGCCATATGATGACGTCGCCTATTATCCATATTGAGCCATTTCAATTGTTTGAGCTTTTCCGAAATAGATATTCGACTAGATTTACGTATGCCATAAATGAGACGAACACACGATGTTTGCACTTTTTGTATTCGGCGAGCATCTATCCCGTTCAAGCAAGGACTGTATACTACATCGCAGTGGTTGAAGTGTGAGAGAACCAAGGAGTCGCAGAGCATTTTTTTCACCTCCACTGACAGAAACTGTCTCTGCGTATAAATCAGCTTAAGAGATGAATATGCATTCCTCAATTTATTTGTAATATGTTCATTGAAACGAATAGATGTATCTATTGTCAAGCCCAGATTTTTGTGCGAAGATTTAATAGGTATTTCCGTATCACCTATTTTCAGGGTGATTTGATCATTCGATGCATATAATGAATTTCCTTTGCCAAATATCATTGCAACAGATTTTTTGGGGTTAATTTTCAGAGCATGATCGCTTGATAATTTTTGTAATGAATCAAGATCGGTGTTGATGTAATTAATGGCTATTGCCAGATCCGAATGATTGAATGAAAAATAAATCTGTGTGTCGTCAGCGTAAAAATGGTAATTACAGTATTTCAAAACTTCTATGAAATTCGATGTATATAATGTGAATAAGAGAGGACCAAGAATACTACCCTGAGGTACTCCACAAAGTAGTTTCTTGGGAGTGGATTTCTCGTCATTGATTTTTACTATTTGTGTTCTATTATGCAAATATGAAGCCATTAGAGAACGTGCTGACTTGCTGAATCTAAAGTAATGTAACATTGATAAAAGTATATCATGATCAATCAGATCAAATGCCTTCGAATAGTCAAGAAGAATTAGTATACTCATTTGATTTTTATCGGTCGCCTCTAAGATGTCATCCAATACATCTGCAAGGGCTGTTGCACAACTATACCCTTTTCTGAATCCCGATTGTTTTGGAGGTAGGATATTGCTGAAAGACATAAAGTTGCGAATTTGTGTTTCCATTATTCTTTCTATAATTTTCGAGCAAGTAGGTAAAATACTAATCGAACGAAGATCACTGTATTCCATCGGTTGACTAACTTTTGGAATTGGGGTGACTTTAGCAAACTTCCATGAGTTTGGAAAGTAGTTTTTCGAGAAACATTGATTTATTATATGAGTGATGATGGGTATTATAAGAGGACAGCAGAGTTGAATTATTATTATGTTTATGTCATCATTGCCAAATGCATGCGATTTTATATTTGAAATTATATCACGGACAGTTTCCTCGGAAATTTGACTAAAAACAAATTCGCTTTCAATACCATTTTTGACATTATGGGTATAATGATGAATCAATTCATTGTTTAATGGCATGTCATTTTTTGTAGACTCGATAAAATATTTATTTATATTCTCTACATTGTTTAAGAAGTCTGGAATTTCATAGTTTTTATTTTTGGTGACATTCAGTTTTTTGAGTTCATGCCATTTTTCTTTGTCTGTGTATTTCCTGAACTTCGAATTCAAATAGGCTTTTTTTTCAGCTTTTATTGCATTCGTTGTGAAATTTCTCATTTGTTTATAATAAGACCAGTGGTGTGGTAGTTGACTTTTTTTGCATTTATGTAGTGCTTTATCTCTAATTTTCTGCATGGTTTTGATGGTATCAGTGATCCATGGCGCATATTTTTTGTTTCTAGGGGTGAAAGTTTTAATGGGAGCGTGATTATCGATAAGATTAATAATATTATAATTTAGTATATCCACTTTAACATCAATGTCATCAGTTTCAAAAATAAGGTACCAGGGGATAACCTGCAGTTCTCTTTGAAAATCTTCATGATTTATATTCTTCAAGTCCCTATACGTGATTGTTTTCTCAACGTTTCTAAACTGACTATTCAATTCGAACTCACAGCATACACTGTTGTGGTCAGATACCTGGCTGGTTTCTACCCAAGAGCGATATTCATCTGAGCTAAAATTTGTGATGATCAAATCGATTAGAGATATAGATGAATTTGCTATTCTAGTAGGTTCGTTAATGACTTGTGAAAAGCTGAAAGACTCTAGGATAGAGCTAAACTGCTGGGAATCATTGGAAGTTATATCAAACATATTTATGTTGAAATCGCCGACACATATGATATAATTGAAATTTGAGAATACATTCGAAAATATATCTTCTATGCTGTCCATGAATTTAACGGTACTAGAACTCGGAGGTCGATAAACAGTTCCCACAGCTATCGTGAGTTTATCTAACATGATTTTCACCCAAATATAATCCACGTGATCATTACATTCACTGAAAAGAAAATCAAATTTCAAGTTATTTCTGATATATAAACCCACACCTCCGCCCCTGGTGGGACGATTTTGATGAATGAATCTATAATGGTTTAGATTAACAGCATCACTCGAAATACCTGAGTGTAGCCAAGTTTCGGATACCCCCACAATATCACAATTTGCATCCGTAACTTCATTTTTGAATTCTAAAAAGTTTGCCACCAGTGATCTCGTATTAAAGTGAGAAATTTTCAGTTTCATTCTTGATTAAATTATTACTGATTGCTGAAGATTTCTGTTGAAGAGAAAAGGAAGTGAGAATAGGGAAAGAGAACGAAAAAAAGAATAAGGAAAAGAATTGAGATAATGAAGAAGATAAATATTTAAACTTAACTTGGATACACGAGCAAAAAAAAAATCATAAATCATGCAGGCATCGACCCCGAGATATTAGAATATAATTCTGTGAAGATATTCATGACTGGAGAAGAAAAAAAAAATGCACATGTTGATATCTGATATGTTACAACTAACAGGTAATATGCAAAAAAAAACCACATAAATCAAAAGTTACAGACTTCTGGGCATATAGAGGTTAAGATAGTGATCAACTTGAAAAAACAAAAAAAATATTTTTGTGAATTACATGACCCAATGAGGTTAAGAAAAAAATAAATAAAATAAACAACCCACGGTTACAATTGATATTGCTAATATTTCGTTGAGTCTCATTTCAACTGTAGATAAAAAAAAAAAACATGCATGAGTGAGAATGAGATTAATTCATATTTCACTGTGTGTTTAGAAATGTTTGCAAAATAGTTCAAGTGCATATTAGTAGAGAAGATTTCATGTACCTATTTGATTCGTAGAAGATCACTCTCCTGCTGTACTCGATGCACACGTTCATTATACTTCACAAAAATGTTGCCGTTGCGACACCACACATGTTTCTTCGAAAACTTGTCTATCGCGCTTTTCATCAGGGTTAATCTCATCTTCGTCAAATCTTCTTGTATGGATATTCCTGTTGATTTCAGATTTTTTCGGCTGCTCAAGATTTTTTCACGCACTGTGGTGTCAACAAACTGTACTAGTACTGCTGGAGGACTCGGATTATCTGTGTTAGTGTTTTTGTTCGGTATGCGATGACATTTGAGTATACTTTTTTCCGTAATATGTTTCACTTTCATCGTATGATTAGCTACCTTCAGAACAACACTAACTAAGTCTTCGCCAGTATTTTCTTGAATACCAAAAAATCGCACATTTCTATCTCTCGATATTTGTTCCATGTTGTCCATCGCAATTCTCAACTCACTGTTTTCCTTTTTCAGAAAAATCATATCATTTTTAAGCTCTGATATTATTCGGTCATATTTATCATGGGTTTTCTTGACAATTTTGTCCACTACACCTTGTAAATATTCTTCAGTAAAGATGGTTTTTGTTTTCGTTTCGACAATCGTGGCTATTTGTTCGAGATCCCTGTTTGTGAGACCCATTGTTGATTACTTTTTATTCAAAACAGGCGGTAGGGACAAAAAAACGCGCCGTGGATCTTATGAAAACGTATCTATCTCTTCACTCAATGACACGAGAGGCTATAACTTGAATTATCACTTCACAATATGCAATGAAATTGTAAATTATCAGGACCGATGCGACAGCGTGACTTACTCATTCGCCATATTGAATATATATATATATAAAACTGAAACTGAATTCATGGGTTTCATCAAAATTGCAGAAGCCTGAAAGTATGTCAAATCAGATCTATGAATCATCTTTAGAATTGACATCGGACACGAGCATGGTATCCTCATCATAGTATCATAGATGAAC